TCAGACTTCCTCCTGACCCCCAACTGCTAAGCAGTGTCCTCGGGTCGTTGGCCTTACGTGGCGGTGCATGTCAGTACGTTTGACAGTTGTGTTGCCTTCTACAGGGAGCCTTGAGGCTACTTCAGGCCCTGAAACCCTGCCGGAAAGCTGCACGTAGGGGGTCCAGAGGACGCATGCCATAATCCGGAAGAAAAAAGGTGACGGTGCAGCGAAACCCAACAAAGGCGGGGAGTAGATCCCAGGGGGGGCCAGCTGGCCTCCCTCAACGCCCGCATGAAAGAAAGAGCGAGAGAGAGCGAGCAAGGAATTCACGGGCCAGCTTCACTGCAACATCCATGGCTGCTTCGGGGAAGGCTTCACCAGGCACCAGACTTAACGGGCCTTCTGTTGAGATGCTGTTGCTATTGCTTCATCTGCGAAAACAGGATTCTTATGTGTGACGCTCATATAGTATATGTTTAATATTCCTTCTCCAGGAAGTTGAAAGCTGTTGAGCAGCTTCTGCCTGATGATCCATCGGAAGCGGCAAGGCCGATCTTGGGAAGCTGTCGGGGCTGTTGCTAGGAGTACTTGTAGGGCCTTTTGAAATCTTTCGAGGTTATGGGCCGTGGCCGCCCAAGCGTGGAATCAATGTCAGTTTCGAGGCGCAGGGAGGTGACCCAGCAGCCAATCCCTTCAATGGAGGTTTCCCCCAACTCACCTCTGAGGCCCTAGAACGTTTGGTACATATTAATCTGCACAAACAAGCGCTGTCTTAGACTTTGACCACATGTGCTTCTAGGTGCAAGTCAACCCTAGGCATAGAAAACCGAAATCAAGGGCCAAATAATTACGGACAATGAATCTGCAAACGGAGCAAAAATCCGCGCTAGTTCTCTTCATGCTGCTGGATTTTAAAGTCAGAAGAGCGCTTGACAAACTTGTGCTGACTGCATTTTTGCTAAGCTACTGCAGGGAGGGACCATTAGGGTGGCAGTCCTGTCGGCTGGACTCTTGCCAAGGACAGACCTTATCACGATTCACCCTGCTCAGCCCGACTAGCTGGCCACTGCCCACTGCTGAAGACTGCCCGGATCTTTGCAAAATCGGAATTTCTTGTCAGAGATGCCTATATATTGTGCAAATAGAGGTAGACTGTACAGTTCTGATGTACAGCACGGTGAATTGCAGGGAACTGCAGCTGCAGGCCTCGAGCATGCTGCAGTAACCAGAGCCGGTCAAAGTTAGGTGCAGACCAAGACCAAGTATTTTTGCTGTTCTCCCTTTTCAGAACAACGTGCGCTTTACAGACAGCGCTGTTTTCTTCGGAGGCAGTCTCCATCTTGGCAATGCACGGGAACCTATGCTCACTCCCAAGAACAGCAGGAAAAGCCCAAAATCCGCGGCGACAAAGAGACGCTGCGCAAGCATGACTGCACAATGCTGACAGGCGCCATGGCCCTCATCATTGTTGTTTTGTGGTGGTGGTGGTGGCCGTGGTCGTGGTCGTGGCGGTCGGTGGTCGTGGTCGTGGTGGTCGTGGTCGTGGTCGCGGTGGTTGTGGTCCTGGTCGTGGTCGCGGTGGTGGTCGTGGTTGTGGTCTTGGTCGTGCTCGTGCCTGTGCCCGTGCCTGTGGTGGTGGTCGTGGTCGTGGTGGTGGCGCGCCAGGAATGCTGGGATATGCGCTGGACATTGCTCTAGACTCATTGCTTGGATTTGGTTCCAAGGTCCAAGACAGTCTGCCCACAACTCCAAAGAATGTAAATCGTTGACATCTTCAGCGCTGGCCACTGGATGGTAAGTAATGGCGTAAAGGAAGATGTACAGCAGATGCCCAGAAAGCGCCAGCTTGTTGAATTTGTGTCAATCTCCTCCCCCAATTTTCAATGCAGTGTGTTCGCACTGCAAAGCTTTTGATGCTGGCAGACCGGTGGATGCGATAGGACTTCTGCACCTTGTCTGCTGTAGTTATGCAACCCAAACTGTGTAAACCAACATATGTATATACATGTTTACATATCAACAGCTTTTAGAGATTTTAGGGATGAGCGGCTGGCCTGGGTTGATTCATGCTGGCAGCTGTCCTACGGCCCTGGGCGACTGAGCTGCTGCAGCTGCTTTCTGTGGCTTCGAGGCTGCATAATGGGTTATGAGATCGTGGCTGTAAGCACAGCTGAAATCAAGACTTCAGGTTTTGCTCCGCTATGAGTTCGCTGTGGCTGCAATCGTCGTTGTTTTCATCCGTTTGCCGACGCCCTCATCTGGCACCACACCTTCAGCTCATTACAAGCTCTTTTGATGTAAGGCGGGTGCGTAGAGGAGAATATAGCAAAATAGCAAGTCCTCTTGGCGGCTGCCTGTTAATGCCTTGCTATGCCTTGCTCAGTTCATTCCAGGCATCTTGCCCGCTCCCATTGATCATGCTGAGACTCTTTCCTGCATTGGGGACTCTGGCATGTTCTGGCGCCATCAGCAGCGACTGCAAACATCCGCAAAGCAAGGGCGGCAGAATCCTTCACCTGGGATGCCTCCCCAGACACGGCTTTGAGGTGGACCCATGCATCTCGATGCGAGAAAACTCAGGAAGCAACCATAAACCATCTCAGGCCAAGAGCAGGTACAGTATTGTTCAGCTTGACGTGAATTGACGTCCGATTGCAGCTTGGGGTTGGAGGGGTGCCGCTTCATGGGGTTGTTAACGCACCGCGCACAGCCTAGGCGTTCCTCAAAGGCCTGCTCTTCAGGATTCAAGACCTGAATGCTGCTGGCCTGTAACTTACGACTCTATCCTCCCGACCCTTGACACTGCGCGCAAGCCCAGATCAACACGCACCATGTTGTGATATGGTGCACAAGAATGCAACATTTATAGTCTGGCAATTTGGATTACGCACGCTGCTTGCAAGTGAGTGCTGACACTGAGGGGCGTTTGAAGATTGGCGCTGCAGAGCTGAATCTTGAGCAAGTGCAGCGTGATTTCGCATTGGCGCATTCCGCTGCTTTGGTGACCATGTCCGGCCTGTCTTTTGGCTGTAACAGTGCTGGCAGCCAGGAAGCGTAGGTCAATCCTTGAACTACAGCTTGTGATAAAAGGCCATCATGATGATAGCTGTCTCACAAGCTATGCCCTTTGAACACCGGCTTCGTAAAAAAGACGCTTCGCTGAAGAAACAATTGAGCAGAGATCAAAACCCTCCTTATTTAGAAGGGACAGGGGCTTTCAGAAGCAAGGTTTGGCGTAAGCAAAGTGTTGTGTTCCGTGAGGTATCGTAAGCAATTTTGTGGCAACGTTGTTGCCGTAAGCGTCGTAAGCTGTTTGTTTGTTGGTCTAGTTATTTATGTCCCAAGCGAACTAGTCCTTGCAGTTGCAGCAAGCCGGCGTAAGCGGCACAAGCAGAAACGACAACAAAGTCATGTCGTAAGCAAAAGCTTGGAAAACGTAAGCTACCATAAGCATTTTTGCTTCCGAAATAAAATAGGATTAGGTTTCGGCCACCGCTCAATTGTTTTGTTTGACCACGGGTCTGACTGATAACCTGCTAGGTCTTTGTGCTGTGTTGCTGTCATGCTTGGGCTGTTTGGCCCTTCCCGAGGTTTGCTCTTTGGATTCCCCTACTGGCGCTCACATGGTGGCTGTTGGATCACCCTGCATTGCCACAGGAGAACCTCAATCAGGCGTGGCGCAAGCACAAAGGAGTGTGATTGGCTTTGTGATCAGGGAGGCACCTTGCCAAGAGTGGACTCCTTACCCGGCAGAACCCAGAACTGTTCACTGTCTGGCTGGGCAGCCCGCGGTCTAGGGGATCTTTGCAGCTTATTGTTGGACAGCGCAGGTCCTGAGCCGGGTGTTCGGCTTTCTTTCGCCCGTAGAGCGACACTTGCGACCACTTTTATCTGCTGGGCTCTTTGGCTTCGTATATCTCTCAGCTGTTTCAAAGTCTCATATTGCAGCATATTGCAGCGTTTCAAGGCTGGCTGTTTGTTCCGCTCTGGGCCTTGCAGGCGTGGGTTGCTTGAAGCGCATGCGGCTGTGAGACTGGTGCATATCGGCATTTGAGGCGAGGCAGACCATGCGCTGCTCTCGCGTGATGATGGCATCGCATGTGCTTTGCAGCATTGGCACGTTGACAGCACATGTGCAGCTACAATCAGAACCTACAGAAACTTACTTACATGGTGAACGCTATCACACCGGGCCTCAAAGCCCACAGAATGCAAAGCCTTCATTTACAGAGATGTAGAGATATACTCGATTCTGCCTAAAGTATTGTGCAGAGCCTTGCAAGCATATTAGGTGTGAAGCGTTTGCTGATGAGCATGGTTCTTGTGACCCTCAGCTTCACCAGCTTGCACAGGTGTACAGTTTGTTTTTTATGCGCTCAATCCTGTGCCGCCGGAGCTGAGGAATCTGCTTCTGAGCATGATGCTTTTGCTGCTGCTGTCCTCGGCTCCTCGGATTTAGACAATGATTTGTCAGGTCTTTCTGAGCGCTGCAAGTATTGAAGCTCGGATCAAGCAGTCATGGCCGGGGTAGAAAAACAGCTGTCCGGTGTTTAGCCATATTCAGCAATGAACCGCTCGAACCCTGCGCCACAGCCGCAGCCTTTCACACGAGGAGGCTCCCACCTGTCCACATCCTGTCCAGCCTAGGTGTCATCTCTACTCGCTCTGTGACCGTCGTGAACCCCGTGACGAGGGCGATTGTATGCAGTTGCTGAACATCCACGATGCGATGACAAACGAAGATACTTACACAAAAATCAAGAGCTGCTACTGCTGTCGCGTACTTGTTCACAGTAGACGAGGAGGTTGGCTCAACAGCTAGTGCTTCGCCAACGCATGTTTTGGTAAACGCTTTGCACCTGAAGCTTTCGGCTCAAAGCCAGCCACATTTGAGAGACTTGTCACTTGTAATAATTGTCAGACCTCCTGGCTCTTGGTGCAGGTGTGGTCACAGTCGCGAGTTTGCTTTGACTGAAGGAGACTGATCGTTTTGTGCTTTGAGGTGTCGGGTCTGAGCCATGTCTGCCAACGACAGGCCGGGATATGCAGAAGATGAAGCTCATTTTCAAATTGCTGCAAAGCTACCACGGTGCGCATGCCATGCGCACATGCAAGGGTTTTCCAGCAATGCGTAGGCTGCAGTATGCGGCAGGATTCCAGAGCAATCTCCCGAAATCATGAATGCATAGCCGAGAGCTTTTGAATTTGATGTTGATCTCGCTGCAAGGGGCTATGAGTCTTTATCCTCCAGAATCTCTGGGATCGAGGATATGTTTGAGAAGATGGTGGGACAGGCGACTTTTCATGCATCAGCCATCAGCTATATCTGCTAATGATACCTTTGGCGTTGACTCGAGGACTTCATCTAGACTTGGTGATGCTTCTACAACTTTTCTGGGTTGCCTTTGCAGAGTGCAGCACCTCCTGCGCATGCTGCACGACATCGTGCAGCAGTGTCAGCTTACAACGTGGTTTGTGGGCCCAAAGCCCGGAGCTGCTTCTCTTCAAGTCCTTCACTGTACAGCGTAGACCACGTAGTTCTCAGACTTCTTTCCATGAGATTCCATTCTGGACGCCAGACGAAATAGTGCAACCATCTCTTGCAGGCCTAGTAGCATTTTCGTGTGGTGACCTTGTCAATGTTTTTCCTAGGTTTTCAGAGTAGCACCCCTGAAGTAGCCGCAATTCTTGTAGATGTCCAGGACAACATTATGTAAAGTTTTTCTGTTAAGCCACGTGCCGCTTAAACTTCAGTGTGCTCGCAAGAGCCCCTGTGTGCCAGAATGCGGCCATGTAAGTTGTGGAGCTCTCGGGGTGGCTGACAATGAAACTTCATACAGTAAGCCAGCATTCTTATGCAGATTTATGAAGTCAGGGCCCGATGAATTTGGCGACCAAAACATGTGGTGAGAAACCAGGACTATGGCTATGCAACACTGTTAGCTTATGTTCGCCGGCCCTACCATTGTACACCAAAACGCGTCTGCTGGGGCCACACTTGTCCATGCCACTGCGAATTTCAAATTTGCAGGTGACTACAACGCTGCGGAAACTTGGACGCGGCATGATGAAGAAGGGAAATCCTTACTCCAGCCATTGCGGCTGCGGGCAAGCCCTGCTCCCCAAGTAATTACTCGTAGGCTGCTCAAGGCCTCTGGTTCAGTGTTTGTTGGTAAAACAACAGAATACAAAGGCCCATAAGCACACTGTGAAATATTTGAGACTCAGACCAAAGCTAAGCTTTGACATGATGTTTTTTTCTTTTGCGAGGGATGGTCCCGTGTCCGCACTGCCGTGCCACTTCGGGATTCTCAAAGACACGCAGTAGCCAACAGACTATAATGACCAGACGCCCTCGCACTTGGTTAGGAAAGAGATCCGAGCGCTTGATGACCGTCTTACCCGGCGTGTGGACAGTGACCAGAAAGAAGAGGCGCCAAACCTGTTTCCGATGTGTTTCTTTGCTGGCTAGGGGCTAGACACAACAGAGCAGGAGGACTGCATGTGGGACATGCGCAGAGATTTCTCGTTTTCCGTGCAGTCTCCATGACTGTAGATGCTTTGGCGAATTTGTCCCCTGAAGGCGGCAAATCTCTACAACATGAAGCGCGATCTCACGGTCCAGATGAGTGGCGACATTGCTGCTGCTGAGGAAAGCTCAGTCGGATTCAGTTGACCAACGTCGTTGAACATGTCGGAAGATCATGCATGGCGCTCAACCCAACCATGGGCGAAGACACGATTTGGACCTCACAAAACAGGGCCACAGCCTCCACATTCACAGCTTCGCAAGATAGTGCTGAGGGCTTTTTTCGTGCGGAGATGCTGGTTACTGGATCCTTAAACAACAGCACTTGTCAAAGACTCTGGAGCTCCATGGTGCGTGAGTGGGCATGCAGCACAGAGGATCGGATCACCAGGCGGCTGGACAACGAACGCCGCGAGCAGAAGGTACCACGACAGAGCTAGTGCATTCAGCACATGTCGTGCGGGGAACTTGAGGAAGCTATTGCCGACCTTCGCCGTGAGTTGAGCACTCAACAAGCCGTTTGCTGCCTCAGCTACTGCCGAAATCGAATGCAAAGCTGAAGCATCTGAAGCAAAGTCTCAATTTAAGATGTTCATGCAGCATTTGTCGCTCAGGTGCAGGACACAGCCTCGTTTGCCACTCAACGTGTGGTGGCTCATTTGCAACATTGCTTTGCAAGCTATGCCTTAGACCGGCTTTTTGCTGCGAGGTTCCCAAAGAAAGCGAAGATGTTGGCAAAGTGCGTGCAGCCGTAGAGGAGCTGCGTGCTGTGGCTGACAACGCCCAGAAGGCGAGCGCGGGCTATGCGAGCTGGAGTTGAGAGAGACTTGAGAGAGTTCAGATAGTGGTGCTTACGAGAGTCTTCAGAGAGACAGATAGTGGTGCTACGAGAGTCTTCAGAGAGAGAGATCCCCTGAAACCTTGTGAGGGCGCGCAGAGCCCGAAGAAGAAGAAGAAGATCCCCTGCGGGTGGGCTTAGCCAGTAGAAGAAGATGAGGAGAGAGATTCGAGAAGCAAAATTGATGAGAACAGATCAGTGAAGTTAAATCTCAGAAGCCATAATACTCCAGTGTTCATTAGATTTCAGCCGTGCGCGCGCTCAGACGCCATGGAAGCTGCATCACATGGGTGGTTGTCAAAATTATGGTCCCTTTTTGGGTACCCTAAATATTAGGTGCCGCATTATAATAGGGATCCAAAAGGGGGCTATAAGTTTGACAACCACCCGCATGACTTGCCAAAGATGCATTGTTAAGCCTTGCAGGACGTTGCTCGCCTTGCACAGGATCTTTGCGATCAGAAGAGTCTGTACGAGCCTGGCCTAAATTCTTAGCGTCTGGTGGCTCTGTTGGAGTGGAGTGCCCTTTCTTGCTAGTGGCCAAGGTGCGGTGACTTCACTTCACTTCACATGCTCAAAGCACGTCAACTTTTGTTCCAACAGCGCTTGATGGCATGACAAGGAAAGCATGGAGATGTCCATCCGAAAATCTGCAGCTTATCTTACTCAGAGCAATTGTGCTAAAACGCAAGCAAGCAAGCATGCAACAATGCCAGCAATCAGCATGTAATGGGTCTTTCTGCAGCCGTGGGGCTTTCAGACATGTGTGGGACACATGCATGCAACAAATATTACGGCAAACGCGCTTGCAAGAGCCAAGGTGCCAAAAAATGAGGAGATGTCCGCTTTGCGACAAACTCTCGATAAAACTCTCCAGGTGGCGGATCAGACGCAAAAGGACGGCATGGCCACAGATGCAGATCACAGCGCAAAGAATCGTTGATCACGCATATCACGCTGAAGATTCGCACTGCATTAGGACTTCAAGCGGCTGGAAAAGGATGTGGCTGACCAAAAGCTTCGTTCTGACAACATGGAGACATCTGTGCAGAGCATGGCACCTTGACGTTGCTAGAAGTTCCTTAGACATATGGTCAAGCTTTTGCGAGGCCCTGCATGTGCAGATGTGAACAGCAGCATGCTTAGCTGGATGAAAACTAATGATTTTGTTTGACGTCTATGCAAGCCTCTGTCGTGAGACCTGGCTTGAGACTCATCGTTGCGCTGCTTCCGCTTTCAAAGTTTCAAATTTGTTCGCTGCGTTTGCGTGTGGAACGGGGTCGACGTTCATGCCGAGGCTGCGCCGACTCGAGGCAGGACTGGCGGACGCAGCAGACGATTTCTCGCTTAAACAGGGTTGAGGTACTGCACCTAGAGAAGAGGGGCTGTAGTGCCGATAATCAGGTTGTGGGTTCCGCAGAAGAGTCTACAAGTGTTCCAGCAGTTTCCAACTCATATCGAAGAACGTACGATTCAAATCGATTTGAGGGTTAGACCGGTTTTCAGGCACCAGGTTTGAATCAGCGATGTGGAAGCCTGAATCAACGACCAAACCAAGAAGCCGAAAACAGGCACCAGGAAGCCCAATCAGCGACCCGAAACGGCCACCAGCCTCCAGATGCGAGCGCGATTTGAATTGGCGGCTGATCTGGGGTGTCCCCGATGAAGCGTCAGTCACAGTCAAAATCTCAGGGCAGTTTGAATGTGCGTGATGGTCAGAATGATAATCGTCGTACCTCACGCCGCCTATAGCTGGAGGTGGGGGCCAACTTAACTCCCAAGGCCTACGGCCAAGGGCCTGGCGGATGTGATTCGACATGCTGTTGCACAATCATGGATGTTTTCGTGCATACTGATTGCCAGCCGAGCCTGAGAATGATCAATTAGTTTGATCGGGTTTTTATCGTGACAGACATTATTCTAGAACTCTGCTGGTTGCCCGAACAAGGTGTTATGGCTTGATGTAGAATATAGATGCCCAAAATATTGGATTATTGTCTCTGCAAACAACAGATCTCGGAGCGTTGCAACGTCACTGCGCTCACTCTTCCACAAGTGCAGGCCTGCTGCAAACCGCGCTTGCTCAGGCGTAGCTGGGGCGCTGAAAATACTAAGTTTTACTAAGAGACCCTTGGCCAGCCCTGATAATGGAAGGGGGGTAGGTATGCCTCGTACGCGGGCATCAGCGCATTGGGGTCACATTTTAGCTTAGTTGGGACCGGGAGGGGTTAAAAAGCCAAGAAACCATCAAAAGGAGCCTTGAACATGGTTTCCTGCGCAGACTGACCATGTTGTGGCCCATATGTACATTTTTGCAATTCAGCAGCAACATTTGAACATTTTGGAACGTATTTGAGAGATTTAGCTCGTGTACAATCGCAGCATAGGAGCCCCACAAGTGCTGGAAATATGGGCAAACACCGCGAGAAAACCATTCACGATGCACTGTTTTGAGAGTTTGGCTTGGGCGATGCACGCAAAACATTTTGCATGCTTGTCATGCAGTGCAGGTGCTTTCCAGGCTAATATTCACAGCCTCAGTACTGCCCACAGCACATTTTGAGCGTTGTGTTGGAGTTTATAACTTTGGGGTCGCAGCAGCCGAAGAGCCAGCTGTCTGGTGTCATGAGGGCAATTGGGGGCCCAGACAGGCCAATGCAGGGGTGCATCCGCACAGGAACATGACGGCCAGCCCTGCGGTCGGATATGGGGGTGACGCTGCAACCGCTGACTCCTGTTAGGAAATCGGTTTTGGGGGTCAAGACTTCAGACATGTTTTCACGCTATTGAGGCTTCCCCCCACGCTACGGAGTGTTTGGGGCAATTTCTTTGAGCGGGCATCATGAGCATAATTGGGTCTTCATGTGCATTTTGAGGATCATATGTGTGCTACCAAGAGAAAAATGGGGGCCTGTTTGTTGGGGCCCATAATGCTCATGACGTTGGATTCTTGGGGGCTGCCGGGGCCCGAATGTGCCGTAAACCCCAGAAAAAAGCTGAGTTGTCGGCCGACGGCAGTATTCGTGGCATTACCCAAGCCAAACCCTGCAAACTGCGCATTGTGCACGGATTTTACAGACCATACAGACCCTTCGCAGATGTTTCCAGCGCTTTGGAGGCTTCTAAGCTACCATTGTTACATCACATTAACCTATAATATGTGAAAAATGTTGCCTTTAAGCTGCAGAAAGAAGACACCTTGAACGAGAACATGACAAGCTCGCGCAAGAAGAAGCATTTGAAGCGCTTTCGATGGTCTTGGGTGGGTTATAAAAATCCTTCCTGACCCTAATTGAGCCCAAAATGCAATTGACGCTCGGGTACGTCGGGCGTGCGCGCGAGGGGCACGAGCACCATCAGCACAATTGGGACCCCATTTTGGGTTAGGCAAGGGAAGGGAGGAATGCTGCCAGTCCCGAGATAGAGAAAGCCGAAGACACTCCGCCAGGCGAGTGCCCCTGATGCCCCGGCAGCCGTGACCCTGAGTGATTGTTCCAAACCCCAGAATTCACTACCGGGACCAGGTGCTGCTGTCCTGCTTGGTCTGGCACGTCCATGTTTAGACTTAAGCAGTGCCTGAGACATTCCGGATGCGTCAGCACAGGCCAGCCTGGCGTTCACAACTCGGCCATCTCGGCCTGCGTGGGGGATAATTCAGTGCTGTGGCCAATTCGGAGCCGGTGGGTGATTCGGGCTTACCTGTCCGGGATTCGCTTGCGCTGGTGATTGAATCGGTTCGTGCCCCCCGGACGCTCGATTCAGCAGCCCTGGTGAATGGGATCCCTGGAGTTTGGGCCCGCACCCCACTCTAAGCATTTGTACTTGTAACATGCAAACATATGCAATCCTTGTGTGCTGCGGTCCTGCAATTCTGCAACGCAAGCAGGCTACTTTGGTCTTGACAATCCGGAGCTGGCAAGCCTTGCTATTTGGCTTGAAAGCTATCGAAGCATATCAATCATATCAACACGTCAAAGCATCAAGTGTTGTCAAACTATCCCGCACCAGTTGGTCACGATCACTGCAGAGCCCGTGGCCGAAATGCGGAGTTTGCTCGAGCAGGCGCAGAACAGTTCGAATAACTGAAAGCTTATCTCTCCCAGTGTGTAGACCAGCTATCTTGCTGTGTGCTGTGAGCATCTCCTGTTTCTGTATGTTGTATTACCTGCCAGCAAATGAGCGACATGGAGAGCGAGCTAGTCAAGCGCATTGACGCCACCAAAGAGGACAGCAACATGCAAGCTTCTTGCTCAGTTCTGCGTGTGATCATACCAGGTGTGCAGTGCGCAAAAGTTGCTGAATGCCATGGTTACATCAGATCGAGATACCAGTACTGTCATGCCAGGATTTGAGGCATACTCACAGTCTGGAAGTAACATGAAGTAAAAGTCTGGAAGTAACATGAAGTAAAAGTGTTGTGCCGGGTTTCCTTTTGCCACTAGTCAACCTCAACACTAGTGACTACTTTCACGCACAGTCCAATCCTGCTTCATGTGAGGTGCAAGTGTTTCCCTCATTTGGCTGAACGTCTGCCCTCCTTGCTGGTACGGGCTGGCACGCTAAGACTGCCAGAAAGTTTCTATTACTTCTGCAAAAGGAATTCATTCCGCCACTCTGAGGGTTGATGGCAGTAGTGTAAAGGAGCTCTCCGGCAAGATCGTGACACTGGATCCGTGGGCCGCATTATTGTGGTCACGTATAAGCAACAACGACACTTCATACCTCGAGGGCGCGGTGATGAAACAAATGCTTTTGGTTATGGCGCCTATATACCAAGCAGTTGAAATCTAGAGCAAATGCTCATGACTCAGGAGCTTGTTGACAGCCGCCTCAAGCGCATGGAAGGCTCACGGCTGGATTTTCGATTGACAGCGCCGACGCCTGAGGCTCCCCACCCTCCGTGTCTTTCAGCTTTGCATGGAATGACAAGTGGAAGCGCCAGCTCCGTTGGCTTGACAGCGCTAGTCAGCATCCAAGGCTGGAATCTGCAGCCCAGCGTGCTGCCAACTTCAGCCAAACAGGCCAATCTACAGTACATCATGCATCAGCAGATCAGCAGCTTTGAGTAGAGCTGCGCAGAGCGGCGTTTGCAGAATACTGCGCTCACATGGTCCCTCTTGGCTGAATAAAAGCTGCAATGCTGGAAGAGTCATGAAGAGTCCAAGAACTCGTGCACTAGCATTCTGGGTGCTGGACAGGCGAGAGTGCGCTGTTTCAGCCCTTTCGGCCTCCTGTCGCCAACGGTGCTGTTGGTGGGTGCCGTGATTTGGAAGCTGGACTCAAGTTATTGTTCAAGGTGTCTGCTCCGTAAGCACTTCACCAGAATTCTCGGACGTTCACGGAACTGCATTACACGGGCTTGCGCGCCTGCATGGCATCCTGTGGCCACAATCAGCAAAGTGGAATTCATTCTGGCTTGCCGCATGAGCAAGGATGTCTCACAGAATGTTGCACCAGCGGCATCGAGGTTGGGACAGCCATCCATTTCGTATTATTTTGCGTTCTTGTTGGCAATTCACCTGCCAGGCCCCGAACTGACATTAGCGACTTCGAGTCGCGCTGCGACTCCATGTTTGCCAACGTAGGGGGCAACATGTCAGCGGCACCAGCTACGCCTCAAGCGCATCGTGCAAGCCTCGAGTTTGCATTACGCGGCTTGTTTGAGATGTCCTGGTTGCTCTCTGCGTCTCTCTGCATAGCTTCGATAGGCAGCGCAGGGTTTGGGCATGAACGCGAGGGTGCTGTTTCATGAAATGTGCCAGTATAGGGCTCATGCGCGCAGATGGGCTCAATGCCTTTTAGCTCTTATGGGTTTGTTGTTGCTTCAAGATGCTGAGCTCCGCTGAACTTGAGGCGTTCCGCGCGAACAGAGAGTGACGAAGCCTGGTGACTTGGCAGCAATTGGTGCCTATGTCCTGCCTGTTCTGCTTTTAGATCTGGAAGTAACGCTAAAAATTGGGATCCTGCCATTTTGCTCCACGATGGATAATGTAAGGGTGTTCATGGATTTGTAAAAGATCATTAAGATTAACAAAGGTGTCGTTCAATGCATCACTGTTCCTTCGAGAAGAGACGCGGCATGAAGCAGCCATATGAGATTGCGCGAAGACTTACTACATGACAGGCTTCTGGATCAGCTCGTGCTCTTGTCAGGAGCGCTCATCTGGAGAGATCGTAACTTATGATCCGCCAATGACGGACATTCATGATGAAATCCTGCCAACCCAAACACCCGTTACTGTAACATGCCGGGTGAGCATAAGCGATTTTCAGGCAGTGACGGCGCTGCCTCAAACCCTGGGCACTCATTTGCGCTGCGAAGCATGCAGGGGCATGCTCTGCGTAGATTGTTGGATAAGTGTCCAAGTTCGGATTTGCGACGCCGAGCTCGTCAAGGTTCAAGATCTCGGACTGCTTGTGCAGCCTCTTCGCTACCGCCGAGTTGGGCCCTTTTGCATCCTGTGCCTCTTTTTCCAGAGGTTTGCCACTGCACTTTCAGAAGAGACATACCGACATGCTAGATGGTAAGCCGGCGCATCTATGGGGCGTCAATGTTTTTTCATGCAAACAACCGACTCAATGTATAGAACCGATTGCTAAGGAGAGTGAAGGACATAAGTTGTGAAACTAGAGCCGCTGCTGTAGTATTGTAGTTCCAATCACACGAGGGTATAAGGACCTTGTCTTCTGGTTACTAAGCGGTTGGCGAAAGATCCAGAAAAAAAGGCGCCAACAGAAACAGTTGTTCACAAAAGTTCACCGATCAGCGGACAATATAATGTAGTACCGTCCAGCAATGCAACTGTCAGTCAAATTTGAGGTGACAGATTCCTCGAAGGCACGGAGACCCTCATACCCGACGATTTAAAGAACAGGCTTGGCAGTGCCTGCTTGTTGGCTATGCGGCGGCTCGGCAAGTGCAAGCAAGTCACAGTTGGGTCATTTCTGCAGGCTCGAAAACCTCGTGGAGCAGGTAAAAGAGACCCTGCTCCGCGGCGGAATAGACTGCCTTTGAGTTTTCTTTGTTCCAGTCTAGTTGTGTAGTAAGGCAAGTGACTTAATGTCTCAAGCACATCGGGGGTAACTTTCGAGGTAGGGAGTTGGGAATGTATAAACTGCTCTCAATTGTCTTGCAGAGCCACCAACGGTACGAGGACATCATTCGAAGTCAGCAGTGCAAGTTTTGAAAGAGCACAGGACGTCACAGAGAAAGCGTCAACCGACACCAAAGGCGACACACACTTCGATCAATTATAAGGCTTCCTTGCCTAGAAAATCCCGACAGGATAGAAGACTATGCCGTTCCAAAATTGGCTTGTCTAGTCTCATTTAGCTCTAACGTTCGAAGTCGGTTGACACTTAGCTTGATGCACAGGAACTCTAGCCAGCTTCCTCAAGCAATTCCTGCAGAACCTGATGAGTATTTGCCATCCGGACAGCCAAACGGCATGGTTGAGAACTACATGCCCTATGAGACAGATGATTATGCGACGCGTCCGGCAGCCATTTGCAACGGAGGCGGGCCGCTAAACATGCGTTTGCATGTTCAGAGGAAACCGAACCCTATTTAAAGGAGCTTTTTAGGTTCGCTCGCACAAGTTGATGGCTATGCTAGATCCCAAGGAAGGCGGCCAAGATATCCAAGAAGATTAGACACGTTCCTCCTCTCAGACTTGAGGCCTGTAGAAGCTTACTTGTGTTGCTGCAATGCTGTGCAGGCTCATACCAACCGGTGCCTGTTGCATCCTTTCAGCACTTCCAGCCGCTGGGGCTCAACTTTTGTTGGCGACCAGGTGATCTTGAGATACATCAGATACCTTGGCCTAGCATGAAAACAGTTGCATGTTGGAAAGCCTCCCCTGCCTGCCCAGCACATTAGCACATCCCAACACACAAATCCACAGCATATTGTGTTGGCACTTCAGGGGAAGGGCGTCAACCACGGAAGCTTCCTTCTTTGTTGGTCATGTCATTGTAAATGCTGCTTGTAGCTGCCAGCGCTCACATCCGCCTGCTGGGCTCATAACAATCATTCAAGCATGACACGTTCTGCATTATGGCATTGTGACAAAGCAATCTTCAGCATGCCCATCTCAAATCTAAGGCAGCCCGTGTCAGACTCCGGCATCTACCCGCAGTATGCAGCTGCGAACACAGCGCCATCCTATCAGCAGCGGCTTGCTTTCTTCTAAGTGCATGCAACAAATCACTGCCCAACCCAATAGATATGATATGGCTGTGGAGACAGCCCGTTGGAATGGCATCCTGAGTCTGCTTTTGCCGTGTGCTCGAATTCAAAGGCCGCTCGCTCGACGCTCGGCAAGAAAAATCAGAAGGAAAGTAGCTGAGCCAATTTCAGATGGTTGAAATGTAACGAGTCCTAGCGGAGATGTATTGCCGCGTGTGGCTGGGCAATGTTCAGTTGCAGTGCCCGCAGCGCATGTGCTGAGAAGGTTACTGCCACGGAAGTGTCGCTCTGCCCCTCAGTCGAGAAGCAGATGTCTACAGTGACCACGGCCCTGCTTCTGAACTTGGTACTTTGGCGGCTTCAGTTTTGTAGTTATGGACTCCCGGACTCCCTGAAGCGTGCCGCCGCCTAGGTGTTCACCCAACATCCTTTGGATCAGTCCAAGCTCCTTTGGCTCCTCTGTCAGCTGAAATCTTTGGCAGCTTGGACGGCGATGGTGGCGCATCATATGATGGCGGCGGCGGCTATGAAGCTGGGTACGAACATTTTGCAGGCTGGAGTTGCAGCATGCCACCACCTGTCCCTGATACGCCCCTCTCCCATCTCCTCTCCACCGCTCGCCACCGCGTTCCAGACGGATCAGGCGGTGAGATGTCTGCGCCACCATTCACAGCCGTGAGCAGCACGGATGCATTTGGACACACGGAGGTATCGGAGGTGTTTGGTCACTGGTCGCTATAGCCGTTGGCAACTCAAGGCTATGGCCCTCCTACTGTGGTTGGCTACGGGCCACCAGTGCTTCATTCAGTTACAACCAGGCATGCCCACAAAGCATTGTTCAAATTCAGCCATGCATTGCGGAGCAGAAAACATAAGGATGCACGTGGGGTCATGGCAGTGCGACCTTGACTGGCGGGCAGGATGGGAAGACCAATGTCTCCAGTTCGTGAATCCTCGCCCATACGAGGCGCCACAGACAAGCTGCAAAAACATGTCTTGCTCTCACGAAGGCGTTCACTGCGTACTTCCGTCCGATCATCGCAGCACACTGGGACAGTCGCGGTTAGCTCTTTGGCATCATGCGTGCCTCAGGTGCTTCACCCGTCAGGGCTGCTTCGCCTGTCCGGGGCATGTCGCCAGTCCGATCTACAATGCAGTATCATCCAAGGCGCCCTAGCTTCCTTTGGCATGTGGATCTTGCTTAGTTGCCTTCTCAACGTGCAAAGGCACCGTGAGCTCTCACCACTGCGTGCTCGCAGCACAGGCAATTCTGCATCAGCTTGAAACCAAATCCTTGTGAAAGCTTAAGAAATACGAGAACATTTGTCCCAGGTGACCCGGCAGGATACCAATTCAACCCCGAAAGGCTGATGTCCAGTGGTAGCGACTTGTATCATCATGATTCAACGTATCGGTATGCCGCTCTTGCAGATCAGACACACCATCAAGCAGCCGAGCTCTGCAAAAACGGTAGCTGCAACTAGATTTGTTAACGCTCAGGAATGGTTACTATGGCAACAACTCCAGTGCCAACGACTCCAATGTCGATCGCAGGCCCCAAAGCTTTCAGCCTCATCCTTCTTGTCCAAAAGTTAACTGTTGCAACAGCCACAATGGTGCTGCCCTGTCCTCTTGAATCAAGTGCGCGAGTGCGGTTTTCAGAGGCTTTGACTATCGTTTTATGTTTGCCTTGGGCAGCAGCAGGTCTGCATCGGCCCGTTTGACTTGATTTCGTGCTGGAAAAGGCCTAGTTGCACGAGAGGTCAACGAAATTCGATTCTGGATGTGCTCTAGATGAGCAGACAGGTTTACCTTGCGTTGCGACCTTTGGCAAAAAATGCTTTCCTCACTGCAGATGGAATGACGATGGCTTCATAAGCTTGGCTGAATGTTTGTTTGTCTACAGACCATTACAGACCTTGATAGTATTGGGTGAGTTGTGGTTAAGGAGGTTGGCTTGGGTGCGAATGGTGACCAGTCAAATGTTGCCACGGCTCACTCCTTGCTGATGTGCCAGAATTTGGCCTCTGCCGTTTGCAGCACAAGCAGCCGCTGCGTTGCCAGACGAAGAACCAGCAACAGAATGCGGAAGCATCATATGTCTCAGGTAACAGACACATGAAACGCATTAGCATGAGGACAGACGTCGCCATCACAGTATCTTTGGCCAGGTCGGATAGAGCACAAGTTGATGGGCTGTTGCACTCAGATATGATGCCAAGGAAGCAGCTGCCTCACTCTTGCTCTAAGCGCAAACAATGCAAGCGGCCAGACCTGCCATGTTCTGGGATGCAGCCCTTCTCTCATCGAGATCGCGGGTGCCACGACTGACATTATGGCAGCAGGGGTCTGAACAACAACAGATATGGATAAAGCAAACAAATAGACATCAACAAAGACAGGTAGTTATCAACAAAAAACGACAAAGCTGGCTGTTATGGCTTAAAACGCAGCACTCGCAGTTCCTGCACTTTGGAGATGGGGGGTAAGAAAAACCAAACTAGCTTTCGTGGTAGACGACGCAGCGCTCGCAGGAGCTTGGACGTTGTAAACTCTGTAATTCCCAACATTCTAGGTCTGGGGCAAGCTCAAAATTATTTAAATTGAAGCATGGGTAGTTCATGGTAGTTCTTGGTAAACCTGAGATGCTACACAAGAAGCAAGAAAGGGAAGAAAGACAGAAAAAGGAAATAAAGATACATAAAGAAACAATGAAAGGAAGAACGGAAGGAAGCAGGAAACTGCGCAGAAGAAGAAGCAAGAAACAAACGAGGGAATAAGAAAGAAAGAAGAAGTAACAGAGGGAAAGAAAGAAAGAGAGGACGCATGCTCCTGGCAAGATTACTTCTTTCCAGTACCAGGTCAAAAACGTCGGAAGAAAGTACATGTTCTAATCTTCGTCCAGGTTTTGCGACCAGGGGGCGGGCAGGCGGGCTGCCCCTGTCAATCCCGACTGTTTTTTCCAAAGCAAATACACGCGAGTATCTCAAGACACACCGTGACATGTAAGGTTACCCGGTCCTCTCATGTTTCAGTACAAGTTAGCATTAACATGCATTTACCATTTTTTATCGTTCTTAGTGTCAGTATAAATCTATTCGTGGAGCACCGAGTAGTGATTACCATCAGTATGAAGGTTCATCCATGTGATGCGTGGTTTTTTTTATCGGTCATAGGAGATATGTAAAGGATGGACACTGGATTCGTGACGCAGTGTTTTTGATTGGAAAACGATAACACACTCACCAAACACGATAACGACAACATATACACCGAAAATTGGAAAACTATAACACACTC